TTTATAGATTCATTCATTCTTTCAGAACATCGGTGACAGACCCAGATTTTTGAGTCTGTATAAATACTCCTTGGCTCTGTTTGAGAGACCATCAAAGATTGATGCATTATTTGCACGCGGAAGGAGCTTTGTAATWAAATTACGCTTCACTTGGTCTGTTTCGCTCCCAAATTTACTTACACATCTTTCATTTTACACAGTGTAAAATTCACTATCACATTTCGTGCACTCTGTGCTTTATTAGAATACAATAAAGTTTTCACATCAACTTTCGTTTAAATTTGTTTTCCTTTTGTGTTTCTTCATCTCGTCACCCTATGTAGCCAATTATCTACAGCGCACGCCGCGAACTGTTTTTCGAAAAATACGGCCGCCTTCTAATTGATCGCATCATCACCAAGGAGCAGGTGTACGGCGTCGTCTCCCTGCGGCATTTATGTAGGTGAGTATTGTAGTTGTATTTACAGTTCTACTTCAAYCACCGTTATTTTACTGCTGGGACGGTTAATTTGGTTGGGCATTGATAAATTTGTGGTTTTGAAATTTAATCAATTTGGTTTGCCTCATTAAATTTTCAATGTGATTTGTAGGCCGGTGTGATTCGGCAGTTTCGGCCGAGCTTCTTATGCTCTTRTTAGGCAAATTAAAATTGGTTTAGAGTAGAAACGAAAACTAAACTCATTATCGCTTGCTGAGTTCTGTATAAATGATTAAAAATTGTTTCTGAATTGAATAGTTTTYTATAAAAGTGATGATGAAAAGAGAATSAAAACAATGTGTTTGTTAAGTTAGATAGATAGATAGAAAATAATTGAGGCTTTRATCTGCGACCTATGGTACATTSTGCCATCTCCTATATCCTTCTAAGATCTTGCTGGGCGCAACTGAGGTTTWGTGTAGATGGAACMTAGGGCCTTGAACCTGTTTAATAGCGGGAAAGTTGGTACTCTAAACGCTTTTATGTTTGCCTTTCACTCACCTTCGAGAGAGTTTATTTTGACTCATAAAGATTGTAATGCATTGAAATAACCATTCTCAAATGGTGAAYTACAAAATGGAAGCTATTACTAGATAATTAGTCCTTTCAAGTTTCCAATATTGTAAGTTATTAAACGAGTTAACAACAATGACCGTTATTCAGCATCAATATTAGGGTAATTCTTAATTAATTTTGATTATTTTCTTAAAAASCAGATTATCTAGTTATCAGTCTGCACACGATTATTAACAAAATATTTTTTAAGCAGATATCGAAACCGAATTGTATATTGCTAATTAATCTAATATTTTTACAAAGTTCGAATTCTAGTTTGCTTGGAAACAAAGTTTGAGAGCGTATAGTAGAGTGAATATTGAAATAATAAGAATATATGATATAAGTTTTCAATCCTTAAAAGTTTTAATATTAAAGAAGTCATTATTTAAAGAATTTTGTACTTTCGAACACAATTAATGTATACAATAGAACCTAAATTAGAACACCCTTAATGCAAACTGTTGTATTGTAACTTTATGAAAACCATTTCCAMGCGATACTCTTTAACAAATTTGCTCTTATGGGCTCTTTAGTCCTAATTAAGGCATAAACAAATGGATAATGTAATTTATCAAACATTTAGCTTCTCGCAGAAGAGCACTGAAGCCATCTAATCATAAAGGCGAATAATTTCCTTTGTCGCTATTAATTAACTAACTCGAAAATTGTTGATTATCAATCGACTTTAGACGGCTTTGTACAGCAAATACACAAGCGACTCGCCCACAACGCCCCAGTTTTTCGGGCGTAGTGGAAATTTAGTTGACATGAAAGCGCCAAAGTAACTTCAACGAGAAGGGAGTGAGATGGTAAATGGTGGCGAAAAGCGCAAGAAGTTGCTTCGTCATCACGATAATGGATATCATTATATAACAGCGTGTATATAAGGAACTGTATAATGTGTGAAAATGTGCTTGGCAAATGGGGAGAAGAACATTGTGCGCATCGAAACTTTCTGCCGTAACTACCGGGAGATACCAAGTACTCATACAGAGATCCATACATTTGTTCATATATGTAATGTTTTCCAAGGGGGTGGACTGCGTTGTACGCATTTTCACTCAAGATTTGTGTTTACTTGGTGGCACCTAAGTGAGTGTGCATGTTTGTTCTGTAATGCAGCCTTCGTTCAGCTTTGCATTTCGAAGGAATGACKTCTCATATTCTCGCATTGCTTCTAAAAACTCCTAGAAATGTTTAGTTGTTTCTTTCATAAAATTACAAGAAGAAAGTTTTAAAGAATATGCTGATTGCTCACTGACTTGTAAGATTTTTAAATATTTTTGCTCATATTTTGACAAGAAAGATTCTATGTTTCGAGTTTCAACAATTCCCATAATGTTGCTGCTGAGCTTACATAAGTCGGACCCTTAAAAAGTATYTACTATTAAAACCTTTATATATGCTCACAGAACAATAAAACTGAGGACATACCTTCTAAAATGCAATGAAGCAATTTTGGACATTCTTCATAAATCATAATACATTTTTAATTTTTATTCTGCCAAGCAGTTATGATTGCCCTATAAAATAAATAATTTCCACTCTGCACTATGTGTGTCAATGGGTCCGATCATAAATTTCGTGTGACACATTCAGGTTAGAATACGAAAGTGTTCAAGGCAAAAAATATAAAAATGTACGAATAGAAGTGTGACAAAGGGCGAGTGAGTGAAGCTCGCACGAAATGGAACCAATTTGACTAGCAATTCGAATGGCAATTCTGTGCCAATTGGATCGCATAAAATGACAAATTGCCTTAGAGGATGGTTATGTATAACTGAAATATTGGTTGTGTAATGAAAAAAAAAAAAAAATTAAAAATACCATGCTAATTTGCTTGTGTCAAGACATTCTTATTGAAAACAATTTTCAGATGACAAATATCATATTTCAGAGAAATGTGGTTTCGACAACTCTGGTGCTAAATGCTCACCGGAATTAAATTTACACAAATAAAAACAACGCAGAGTAGATGCTCACTCTGCTCTGAACTGAGATTGCTGTGGGCAAAACTTTAACTTAAACCAAGTGTAAAATTGGCCTATGAGCTGTTTGCAATTACTTATTTGAGGACTATTTTGGAGGACCACAAGTATTTTTTGGCTTATTTTGTAAGGTGTGAAATTTTAGAAAGTCTGTTTCATGTTTTTTCTTCTAGATACTGTGATTGTATTCAACACATAACATATGCAATCTTAACGGAACGGGTTCTAATCTGTCGGTCATAAATTCTGCACTCTTGAAGCCATATTTTGTACTATGACCTGTTGAAATGTATAAATTTCGGCTATCTTCAGGCGAGTTTCATTCGTCTTCATGTTGGAAGTGAATTGTCGCTTTAAGGTTTCACACAACATACATATAATTTCTCTCAAAAAGAATTGTTAGCAGATTATATTATATATAAACTAACTGCCACTCCTTTGATTTCCCTCATTCATTTTATACTTTTTATCTTTTCTTTATTCTATATATAGCGCAGTGTGCAACACAGCCTCGGTGTCCACATTTAAAAATTCTTTCTCTCATTTTATTTTTCAAATGTGAAACTTATCACTTAAAAGTCTCCAAACTTTTGAAAGAAGCACGCGCGTCTAAGCTGAGGCGCTTGAATGCAAACATACATATATCGGCAAGCAGAACCGATAAAAGGGACTACTTTCAAGTTTCAAACTGAAATTGTTAAATACGTTATTTTTGGTCCATATTTTGGGTTTGCTTTGTTTGCTGGTCCTACAAATATTTCGTCTCCGCACATGCACTACTGACCCGTGAGTTTTCTCTAAAGTGCTAACTGTCTCTATTTTCAACATGTTGCAGATGCCGCATACGTGACTTGCTGCGTCGCAACTGCCAACTGCCCGACGGCATAGATACGCTGCGACTGCCCCGACGCTTGCACCGCTACATCGACTTGATGGAGGAGCTCGAGGGGCCACAGAAAGAGGACGATGACGAAAACAATGCGGCGCTGGAGAAATTACAAGCCACCGGCGGTGCTGTTAGTGGTGCGCGGAAACGAGTGCATTTTGCCGAGTCCAAGGAGGAGGAGCAGTCTTCGGTGGATGTGGAAGTAGCTGTGGAGGTCGTAGAAAGTCTGTTGCTGGAGGAAAGGCTGCCGATGGAGCAGCAGGCCACCATGACGGGTGACTTGCCGACGGTGATGGAGGAAGACACGACAGAGCTGGCAGAGGAGCAATTAGAGATGGAAAGCCAAAATGATTTCGCTGTTGTGGTGGAGAAACCGTTAGCGGTCGAAATTATCAGCCCCATGCAGATGCTGTTGACTGCCGAAAATAGCAGCGGGAACAGCATTAGCACCGACAGCGACATAAGCAGCAACGAAAAGGCAGAGCAAGACAGTTGCATTTGTAACAACAAGAAAAACGGCAGCAACACTCTCGGCAAGGTCAGAGAATGCATCGAGCGCCAATTGAGCTAGCCAACCCTGTCATAACAATATTAAATATACGAGTAAGTAAGTACGTGTTACGAGTTTAAGTGAGTTATATGAACTGCCCGAGTTGTGCGGACATCAGGAGAAGCGCTGTTGCCATATAAACAACAACATTTGAAGACGAAACTGACGCTTTTTACCAACTCAACTTTTTGTTGAGTTGTCGCTTTATTGGCTGCCCTTTGACTTTATTGGCACAGCAGTAGAGTTGCATTTGTGTGGAGAGCGTGCAGTTGGCGAAATCGTTGACAAACATTTTTTAATGCAGAAACTTTATTTTTCATAGAATTCACTTTTTTTCAGTGGCAAGTTGGCTTAACTTACTTTGCCAACAAGTCAACGAGTAGTCGAGATTGGTGAGTGAATTGTTGGATATATTGGGATTAGCAAAAGTGTCAAAGTGTTCATTACTGTTACTCTTTCGAATGAATTTGTGTGTGTTTTTTTGCCAAAGAATCGCATTTATGTAAAATATACAACAAAAAATCCGTGTCTTTCACTCACCGATAAGTTTCCTCGCTGACATTGATGCGTCCCGGCACACCCGTGGTCTCTGTCCGGCTTGTCAGGTTCACCGTGTTGCCGAAGAGACAGTAGCGTGGCACACGATTGCCGATAACGCCGGTCACCACCTCGCCCGAATGAATGCCAATTGTCACTTGCTGCGGAAATGAGAAAGAGAAAATTGTCAAATGAAGCAGATTCAAAATGCCACAGCCTGGATTTAATTAAATTTGAGTTAAATGCGTTCTCGTTTCGATATAGAAAATAATTTCATATTGTACTTTTGTAATCTTGCTGCTTATCTCGCTGCAGTCGAATGGAAAACGTTTGTACATATACATATGTATATGTATATGGTATATTTGTTGGTATGAAATGAAGCTTACTTAGGTTATAAGATAATTGTATATCGTTTATTAGTACAAAATCACCCAATTTTGTGGAGAAATTAAATAATTTTTAAACAAATAAATAACGAAATATCATACAAATAATTAATGTATATTGAAAATTGATAAATTAATGCTGTACTAACGGATATGTGCTTTTATTTAAGAAGTATAGGTAAGTGATTTCCCAAAGCTTGTCCTACCTGTGAACCGGAACAGATCAAATATAAAATTTGGGCTAAGGCTGCAGTCTGTTACAAAAGAAATAAACATTTATATACGTATATGTACCTACAAATTAGTTATGATGTCTTGCAGGGATAAACTTCTACCCTTTTTAGTAAAATCTACATTGAAAATTCATTATTTTTCTATTGACCAACATGTGGATCATCAATAATTTTCAAAATTAAACCTCAAGTACAGCCCCTTGCCTTTCGCCTTTATTCGTAAGTAATATTTTCACCGTATTGAAACAGTAATTAGTATATACAATTGCCACAGCAATTCCACGTAACGGATCTGAAAGTGCATACAGTTGCTACAGCTGATGGATGTATGTATCCCCTTAAACTAATCGAGTGAGATATTAGGTTAAAAATACATATATAAATGATCATGATGACGAGACTGTAACTGTCTGTCTACCCAATTTCAACTCGTGTCGTCTGTCAGTGAATGCTATAGTATGAGTAAAAATTGAGATATCTTGATGAAAAATGTACCTCCTAAATCACTTAAACTACCATAACTAAATTCGATCCGGAGAAATCCTTTCAGAGACCCTATAGACATTGGATTATTGGAGCAAAGTGCGAAAACGCTCTAAAGGGGAAATCTACAACCCCGTCTACTTSCCATATAGCATAATTATACTCTCGCAACAAAGATGCTAAGGAAAATATTATAGTTTTGTTTACATAACGGTTGTTTGTAAGTCCTAAAACTAAAAGAGTCAGATATAGGGTTATATATACCAAAGTGATCAGGGTGACGAGTAGAGTTGAAATCCGGATGTCTGTCTGTCCGTCCGTCCGTGCAAGCTGTAACTTGAGTAAAAATTGAGATACATGATGAAACTTGGTACACATATTTCTTGGCTCCACAAGAAGGTTAAGTTCGAAGATGGGCAAAATCAGCCCACTGTCACGCCCACAAAATGGCTAAAACCCAAAACTTATAAAGTGTCATAACTAAGCCGTAAATAAAGATATTAAAGTGAAATTTGGCACAAAGGATCGCATTAGGAAGGGGTATATTTGGACGTAATTTTTTGGAAAAGTGGGCGTGGCCCCGCCCTCTACTAAGTTTTTTGTACATATCTCGGAAACTACTACAGCTATGTCAACCAGACTCTATACAGTCGTTTCCTTCAGACATTTCCATATACTGTTTAAAAATTGAAGAAATCGGATAATAACCACTCCCACCTCCTATACAAAGTCCCATACAAAGGTTATGTTGGAAATCACTAAAAATGCGTTAGCCGACAAACAACAAACGTCACAAACACAAAATTTTACGGAAGAAATGGCATAAAGAAGCTGGACCCAAAAATTGAAAATGTGCGTGGCATCGCCCACTTATGGGACAAAAACCATATCTCAGGAACTACTCGACCGAATTCAATGAAATTCGGTACATAATAGTTTCTTAACACCCTGAAGACATGTACGAAATATGGGTGAAATCGGTTCACAACCACGCCTTCTTCCAATATAACACTATTTTGAATTCCATCTGATGCCTCCTCTGTATAATATATACATTAGGAACCAATGAATACCGTATGTATTTGAGCTAAGGTATCCCTTGTGGAAAAATTGTCGTGATCGGACTATAACTTTTCAAGGTCCCTGATATCGAACACGAAGAACTCAGTGCCTAACCTAACCTTTTCTAATTTTTCACCGATAATATCGGTAAATCTCTCAGATATTTTCATGTAATTCAGAGGGCATCATTTTTATACTCTTGCGATAAAGTTGCTAATAATGGTATATATCGTCAGATATGTGATTACATATACCAAAGTGATCAGGGTGACGAGTAGTCCGTGCAAACTGTAACTTGAGTAAAAATTTAGATATCTTGATGAAACTTGTCATGCGAGAGTGTAAAATGTTCGGTGACACCCGAACATAGCCCTTCCTTACTTGTTTTAAATTCTATTTCATTGTTCTTGATAATAGTATGACTGTGTGTCAAAAATGTGTTGAATCGGGCGAATACTTCCCTTAGCCCTTAGTGACTTTATAACACATTTAATGGTTATCTCATTGAAAATGAGAGAGTGTTTTAGTCATAACATTATATGAATGTTTCATATTGGCAGTGTCACTTCGGAACAGTGATAAGTGGGCGTTACGAGAAATGAATGTTATATAATAAATATAATTCTGATCAGTCGAGTAGTTTGCGAAATATAAATAACATTACGAATACATGTCGACGCTCAAAGTTGAGGTTGTAAACTGGATAAGAGGCCATTGCTCTTTTCTCGGAATTATTTGAAGAGTTATTGCACTATAGGGAAATTCCATAAGACGCAGCATATGTTTTTTCGGAAACCCTCTATGCGAAAAACAAACATATGAATGCAACTACCTACTATAAATTGTACAAAGTGCAAATATCAAAAATTCCAAAATCATCATAAATTGCTGAATTTCTTGCACAAGTTGCCTTTTCAAGCGATAACGACTGTGAATAAGTCGAAATGGAAGCTCAAATCCCACTGCAAGTTGATCGAGCATTCCCGCCGTGCTGGTCGCGATGCACAAGCAATCCGTCAAAATCAACTTAGTGTAGTGCATACTTAGCATTTAGTTGAATCAAGTTAAATGTGGGCTTGACATGCGGTTATCCGGTGTGCAAGGGAAGGACGTGTGAGCAAGTTGACTTGGTTATTGCAGCACCACCCCACACATAGTAGGGCTTTGCGGCCGTAGAACGTTGTCGTAAATGGCAAATAGCGCTAGTGACCCTTGTGTGCGCCGTTTCTGGCGTAAGCAAGTGGATACGTGTCACGGACGTGTTAAATTACTTTGATGGTAAACGTTAAATTGCTCCAAATTGATAAGGACGTGAAGAAATTTTGAATACGGATGTGCGAATCGGGATTCAAGTATCGCCCAACTGGAATTAATTTGCTTAAAACTATTTAAGTTTCGACTCAGTTCAAAGCGATACTCATTTGAAGAAGTTAAATGTTCTCTTGTATAAGAATCTATATATTAAATATGTGCAATGAATTCTTTGATTCTATACAGATAAAATTTTTTTTTTATTTTCATTTACAAATTTTTGTTCACAGAAAGAGCTTAGTAAAAATTCCGGTATAGCACAGTTATTTTGCACAAAATAAAGCGCTGTTGAAATGTTGCCTTAAATATAACTAGTCTTCAGCAGTTACTGAAATAAAAGCGAAGTGAAAAGTAACGTCAAAAGTAGAGAATGTAGCCAACTTGGGGAAAGTTTCTTAGACAAAAACACTTGACAATGGCTACAAAAACTTTCAGGGGATGCAATGGAGTGTAAGATGGAAAAGAGGGCATTCGAGTAAAAAGTTGTTTCTTTTGTTTGTGTTCAACATCTGCAAGTAATTGCGGGTGGGTCCAGCTTTCTAATTGGCTTTCCAGACACCTCACAGTTGGCTGTTCATTTAAATGTCACAAAAAATATTGAATATCATTAAGCAGTTCACCCCTGTAGGAAATCCGTGATGAAATTTTTAAAGGACGGCTGTCTTAAAACATATATATGGCTCGTACGAAGACTGACAATTTGTAGGTTTTTGTCCATGCTAGTATACGTGCCAATAGTACGGATTGTTTACGTATTTATTACAATTAAAATAAATGAATATTTCTGCCGTGAAACAATTATTTTCGCGTTCCAAACCAATTTTTGAATAGAGACATGGGAGCCGTTAAATTTCGTTTTCTTTTATTTTATTAACAGCCGAATTCCATTGAACTGCTAAGCATAAATTTTAGTGCGTTGCAGCTTTACATATTTCTAAAAAAAAATATATAAAATAAATAATATTTAAAAAATGATAAAATTTTTGTTGATCAAGTGGCGTATCCGAAGCTATAAGTGGATAGCGCTTCAATTGCTTCTGACCCGAAACTTCTTTTATGCATTATTTTACTTTCACTCATTGCTTTCAAAATAAATGAATTGCTGCATTGTTTAAATGCGAGTGAACGAAGAGATGCTAAGGGGGGGAAGAAGGTGAAGTGAGATTTTTCGCCATCGCTGGTAATTGCACTTTAGACTCAGTCGGTATTTGTAGCATTGATGCCGCCATTTGTCTTTTGAAGTCGTAAACTGTGTGAAAGTGACGTCCATTCGAATGGGTAGCGCAAGAGAGCACAGGGAGAGATGGTCACAATCGCTCAGTTTCAATTCTAGCGCCAGTTAAATCACTGCATTCAATGGAAATTAATTCGTGCAATTTTAGCACAAAACTTGCACAAAAGCGCATTGAAACACTACTTCGCAAACATGTCCGCTAACACTAAACACATTCTCTCGCATTAATTTGCTTTACTCAAGAGAAAGTTTTCGCCTTGCTGCAGTGTGCACTTTTACAACCGAGTTTTTGAAAGTTATTCGAAAAGTTTACAAAACCATTTTCGTGGAGCTCTTATCAAACATGTCCAAATGGTTCAAATGATTAAATGATGAATTGAACCTGACGGAATTGATATGCTAAAGCACCTGGGCTCTACGGAAGTAAGCTTCCTTACCAAGGTCGTCAAACTGTCGCTGACCACTATTCAAACATTCAATGTATGGAAAATCGAAAGAGTGGTGTTTATTTCGGACTGTCAAAAACCCTAAGATTTTAGGTGTGAAATTCAACATCCTGTGCTCCCTTATTCCTCACACGACGGCGATTATTGCCAAGCGCCACCGTACAGAGCCGTAACATATTCCTCAAGTTCTTAACCACGCCGCACAAATATAGTCACCTGAAATCATCCCTGCAGTCACCTGCAGAGTATCATGAGGTTTTTCCTCAACTACGTCGACGACATAAAACAATCCGCCGTGCAGACTTCGAACGCAACAAACTTGAGACATGCAGTGACCGCCATTCACAGTGGAGCCATTAATACCTTCACCGACTACCTCTCAGTGAATGGCGTACTTGAATTGCAATCAAAGAGCTCGAGTTGCAACCGACTTTGACACATCAAACATATGTACCCTGTATATGTTATAGTTTTCGCCCCAACATTTTACTTACCACAGGACTGGAGCCCATTTTCACATTCTTTGCCATATCCATCATGTCCAGGGCCAATCGGGCGATGCATTTGGCATGGTCCTCACAGTGATCGGGTAAGCCCGACACAGCCATATACTTGTCGCCAACAGTCTCCACCTGCAATAAATCGCATAAGCTAATGTGAGGAAGTTTGCAAAAGCAATAAAACTGTAATTTTTACAATGTAAATTTATATATTTCAAATGACCTAACACAGCGTAAGAGCACGCAGGCATCCACACGCTTTGTGTAAGCGTTTCAATGCAACAAGAAAGCGTCCGAAGATTCGGAGAGTAAAGACTATGCGCAAACATATACGAATTACAAACATGCATACGTGGATTCGTGGAAAACATAAAGTCGAGTGCATACAAAAGCGCAATTATTTTATGGCTGCCGTTAATGGCTGTGTGGCAACCGCAAGTGGTGGTTGTGTAAGTCGTGGGAGCCATGGATGCCGGCAGGTCGGCTCACGTGCCCCCACCAGCTTACACTCTATGGACACTGTTTCGAAGCGAACAGAAATGAGCGGCATTCATAAAGCCGTCGTACACTTGCAACAATATAACGGTGCTTGTATGTGAAGTTTGCCTTTTATGGGTGTATGCACTTTTATTTAGATTTTGCTTTTTCACTCGAATGCACGACCTTGACAAATGACCCAGATTTTTGTTGGCAAAAAGTTTAATTTGGCGTCGATTCTCGTAATTTCCTCCGCAGCGCTAAGTGAGTACAACAACCAGTCAGCCGGTGAGTGAGTGAGGGCGTGACAATTCAGTTAGTTGGTCAAGTGGGTGCTGTAGCGGTGGAAAGAAGTTGAAAATTGCTGGAAAAGCGAAAAAGAATGGAATGATGCCTGCGCAAGGAGTGGTGTTGCATCAGCAATATGCAAGGGCGTGTGTGCGAAGACAAGGAAGAGAGCGCACGGATGCAGCGAAGCGAAAGCTGGAGCTTAATAAGTCCCACATCGATAAATAACTCCTTTTATGTTCTTCTGTAGCTGAGTGATTTTAACTTTCTTTCCATTTTGCATTTTATTTAAACTAATTTTTAATTAAAATTAATTAAAATGGGGCTTTCTTTTGGAGAGCGGTATGACTGTGCAAAACTTTTGACCTTAAACGAAGTTCGTATCGGTCCACGACCCCTCTTAATATCTAAATTGTAAAAAAAAGTATTCATAAAACAATATTAAATATCTCGTATATACGCTCAAGAATTTCCAAAGTTTTTGCTCTATTATTTGAGACTTTCGCTTTCTGGCAAGGTATTAATTTTTCACGCACTGAACATATCGTTCATATATGTACATCGTGAATTTCTTTTATCCCCACTATCACCACTTTGCCCTTTGCTATGTTTAAAAAAGACATCTGTTCACCAGGTGGAGCTCTGGCGGGGTGGAGGCAGTCAAACGGCCCTCAGAAGGTGAAATTTAATAGCAGTTATATATATATATATATATATGAACTACAAATAGCAGTTACATATATATGTATATATATATATATGGTTATTGCTATATATATAGGTGGAGGGGAGCTCCACCTGATATATATACATATGTGGTTGAAGAAGTGCAGCTATGAGTTGGTGTAAATGTTGATGAAGCCGCTGCAGCTGTGGCTGTCTTGGCAGTAACTGAATTTGCTGCCTTTTCGGGGAAATTGAGTGCTCTCTCGGGCGGTAACTTCACGCCAGCGCCAAGTTAACGTGCCAAAACATATGTATACAACATACATACATTCATATATACAGAGGACTTATGTGTGTACTGTGTTTTTACTTCACAACATTATGTTTTTACTTGGTTATTGCTAAATCACTCGAGCATTTCGTTTCGGTGTGCTATTTACTCAGAAGCAGGAGCCATGCGAACACAATGTAAGACCAGCACGTTGTCAGCTTCGCGTGGCTCTAGCAAAATTTGGTGGAGACTCGCTCAATGAGTTGGTGAGTAAGTTATCAGCTTTCAAGCGATTAAAGCTTATTTGTATATATGTGTGATATATTAATGAGCACTCATAGGTGGATGGGATGCCAGTATTTGTGGATCACCAACATATTAGGTCAATTTAGAGTGGGTGTTTTTAATTAAAAATTTTGAAATCATCTTTCTCTTAATATATCACCGAGCGTCTTCAGAGAATTTAGTAGGCCGCTTTGCCTGTACTCGGAAAAAAGTTTTACCTTATAAACGTTTGGATTTCGCTTCGAATCGGTTAGCGCATCGAAGACTGTGTACAATTCATTCAGCATTTTGACGATTTTCATAGCACCCTCAGCGTCGGTATTCTCAGCGCAGTATTTGCCAAAGCCAACGATGCCGGAGAACATCAGCGTCACCGAATCATAACTGCCACATAAAAAACAAGAAAAATTGAAAGTAAAAACGAAGACATAAATATAAATGCTTTATGTTCAACAATTAAGTGTGCGTTAATTAATTACCGTTTAGGCAGCACGGGGCGTTGGTGCCGCAGTTCATTGGCCACCGATTTGGGTAGAACCGAGTAGAGGAGCCTGCAAAGCAATAATTTATGACACTTAATTTTATTCAATTGAAAATCAGCCTTTCATTATTCGTAACCATTTTATATAAAAATATTTAAGATTATTTCAGCAGTTGTGGCTGCAATTTGCTCTCGTCGCCCTTACTCACCTGTCCGTTTTCTGCTTTTCACTTTCCAAATCTCTGTAGGTTTGTTGCAGCTTATCGGTAAGCAGCTCCAGATTCTTTGTCAATTTATACTCAGCCTCGAATTTTTCAGAGAGCAGCACCAAATCTCTGGTGGCGTCATGTAGCGGGACATCGGAAATATAGAGACCCTTTCTGCAAGAGAAATCGTGGAGAAATTTCCAAAGTTAACTGAATGTTGGTTCGCTCTTGGTTTTTACGTTCGCTTTCATTACACTGTGGAACATTTTTGGGATTATTGTCTGGGGGGTGAGAAATTCCAAGTCAGGGTGATGGTACTAGGTCAGTATAGTAAAACCCTCAAAGGGTTTGGCGTTCGTATATGTCAATTTTGTTTTATGACCTTTAAAATTTTTTCTTATCTTGATGTTTTTTCGCTTAGTTGTAACATTTTGGCAAAAAACAAAAAAAAAAAAAAAAAAAAAAAAAAAAAAAAAAAAAAAAAAAAAAAAAAAAAAAAAAAAAAAAAAACAATTTCCGAGAATGATCTTAACATCCTTGCGGCAGAAACATCGTAGTTGTTAGAACGATGCTTTCCCAAAAAGCCTTCTATTACTTCTTTGATTGCCTGCCATGCATTCAATTCAGCGTCGAGTGGCGCATTCATAATGCCTGATTGGAAAAACTTAATTTGTTAAGATAGAAAACCATGGGAATTCCACTGATGGTGGAAGCGCACCGTTGCTCATGGCTTGGCATAACGAAACGCTTAGCTACATAATACCTGCTGCCTACATGATTGCGCTTCTTGGCTCGCTGGAGCCGGTGCTGTGCGATTTTGTTCATCAACAACCCAAGCTTTCTTGTTCGCTCGTTATTTGAGTCGTAAATTTCGCATTTAATTTTGTTTCTATTTTTAAGTACTTCCCCTTACAGTTTAGGTAAAAACGATTTCCAGCAAACTGCGGAAACATCTGCTACGCGTTATTAGCCAAGTATTTACAGCTGACCCAATAAACGGTACTTCAACTTAAAGGTATTGGTGATGAACGCTTTTTATGACACCAATTGAATCTAATGTGACATTATTTTTTGCGGTGCGCCGTAAAAAGTGAGAGCCCCAAGTTCTCACATAGTATGCACCGCATTAATAATGGGTAAAAGGAAATGTTCCCAAATTGTTTTCCGAAATGAAAACGTATACAATATATAACAGCTCTGTCAAAATTTGCAATGTCGGAGAGGGCGTTATTACAAAATTCGACTTGCCATAAATTCTTTCCCGAAAGTATTTCCGTTAGCTGATGCTGATTCAAAAGGCAGACATGCATAGCAAGCGCTCAATAGCAAAAATGTAAGAAAATGCGGCTCAACAGTGTTGCCACAAAGCGAAATCAACACAAAATACCTTCACCAATAGCCAACGACTTGTAGAAGCCAAAGAGTCGGCTGGGAAATGGCCAAGTGCCAATTGCCTGGTAAAATATAATGTGCTATAAACTTGCTCTATATTTTTGCTGTTGTTTATTTGTACGCATATATGTATGTGCTATTGGTTTTCACAAGCATAATGTTATTGGTGCACCGGTTTTTACTGCCAGCGCTTCCGTTGCTGCCGTGCCGTCACTTATTCTCTTAAGTTGCGTTCTGTTGCCGACAGCAACAAGCCAAATTTGATTTTGTAAAACACAGAATCTGACAAAGTAAGCCATTAAAGGCATTTAAAGCAGCCTTTATGCGCTATGTTTGTGTTTTTTACTGCGTATGACGATCCACTGCTTCGGAGATGTGTACGAGTGCGTGAACATAGCATGTGGTCCATGCAAACAAGGCATGTCTTTAGGCCCTTTATGGCACTATGTGGTGCGTGCAGTCGGTTGGGGAGTAACCCATGGGATACACACAATTATGGTATATATGCCTTAGTGTTTTGCTAGACATATTGGGTTTGGCTCAAATTTGTTTATGCGTATGAATGTGAAGGCGTGTGAAATTTTACATGAATCGGAAGGAGCTTTGTGAATTAATTTTCTAGTGGACTGTGTGCAAACGCTGTATTGACAAATAAACCTTCTGTCAAGTACTCCTTAAATCCGCTACAACGACATTTTTTTTTTTACAGAAAATGGAATTCTATAGTGATCCTCCGATAATTCTTGCAATGTAAAGGCGATTGTGAGAATGAATAACAGTAAATAGTCTTGCAAAGTTCGTTTGCCATCAGTCTTGGGAATTACTGTTTTAACAACGTTATTTGTGGAAAAATAAGTAGTTATATAGAAACAAAGAAAGAAGGGCTAAGCTCGGGTGTAACCGAAAATTTTATATTTTCACAAGTTTCTGAAGTTAAAGCTGGGGAAATACCTTCAGGTGTTGGCAAAGAGAATATAATAATATATGAGACGTATGTATGTATGTTACCATTGAATAATTTCAGCGATTTCGTTAAAGATAATCTTATTTATATTTCGTGATTCCAGAACAAAAACTAATTTTAATCATCAAAAACCACTCTATTGTCTTTTAAAATATGCTCCATTAAGATCTATACCCTTTTTTATTTGAGTCAATTGCCGAAACACTTTTGCCACTCTGATTGATATACATATCTCCAAAATATGCTTTTTGAACGCATCACCCCCTCTTCAGATGTCGAAAAACGTTGATCTCTTATTCGGTCCCAAGTCAGGACTATACGAAGGATAACTCATCAAATCGATATTATGAGCGCTCAAATATGCAGTTGTTTCAGTCGATATGTGAGAGCTAGCATTGACGTGTTGAAGTGTCATCCTCTTCGGCGATGGGTTTTCTTAAAAAAAAAAAAACAGGCAAACATTTGCTAGGATGTGCTTTGTGCGTCACCCACTTTCCAAACTCACATGAGAATCTTGCATCATCAGTTTGGGCGCAGCATCAATATTTTCTGGAACACCTGAATTTCGACGACTTTCACGATACTCTCTTGAAGTGATCAACGGCCTTGCTTGAACCATACCATCGATAAACACTGGTCCTTGATGAAACTTCATCGCCAAAATTGAATTAAGTTCATCTATTCACTGATGAGTTTACCCACGTAAGTTTAAAGAAATAATCGCGTAGAAATGTTCGCGATTTAATTTGATTTTTTGGGGGAGAAGAATATTTTGAGTTGCTGTAAACAACACAAATAGCGCTCGTATGTCAAAAAGATCTGAGCACGCGAACCGTTAAAAATATCAAATTTGTGATAAAACTATGAGTTTTCACTAGTGTTGCCAAATCTCGGAACATAAAAGGAAACCCACGCATAGAAATTTCAAAAAAGAGTTAAACTTCAAGACTTAAACTCAATCAAATAGCTGAAAATTTTAAACAACACCTCATTCCGGTTGATTGTATATTTTTACAGCTAGACAAAGTTATCGTTTATATTTTAACTATGTAGATGTGAATACAGAAAAGGCAAATAGTTTTATTTTCTATACACCCCAACTACATATTATATAAAGTACTTACTTTGTCAAATCATCCAAATTCATGACGCTGGGATAGCACTGAAACAATATGCGGTCGGATTCTGGTATGTACATCATTTGACCCTGAAAAAATCCAGTTGATCAGGATCAGTTAAAAATATACGAAGATGATATGTTACATACCAAATTGTACATATATAAAAAGTTTTGTATTTTAATTTTAATTTTAATTTTTGAGAGAAACTCTCCAATTCATGTCTCGCACTATCCAGAACTCACCTTTAACCTCAGGTACCGTTCATGCTTGCCCATCGCCCCTTGACGCGTCTGCAGTACGTAAATCGTGTTGATGTGCGACAAAATGTTTTCGAAGCTTAACTGTAAATGCGGACGTATGGCCTCGAGTACCTCCAATATGGAACAGTTTTCCACCGCAACTCTGTGAAAGCATTGGACAATTCAAAATTTTAAAATAAAATGGAATATGAAAAGAGAAATAAATTGTGTCGTATATGTATGTAGTTGCGTGCGTGTCTTTTGTGATGAACTTCGTAGTTTGTCGCTGCTACATATTGTTTCATCGTATGCCATATTTTGCACACTGTTGTTGTTTTGTCAACGCTTGAATTTACCTTGGAATGACGCGCGAAACGGATTTGCCGGCCTGCACAATTTTCATTTGCCGATCGAACATCAAGTGGAATGGGAACACCTTGCAGAATGTGGCGGGCGAGATAAGCGGCGCTGCGTTCCACGGTTGAGTGGACATGAATAAAGGTGAAAAAATAATGTTTATTTGCGTTATTATTTGCTACTGGAAATGCAGCCAAATATTGTATTAAATAAAAAGCTTTATGCAGCATGCCACATTCATACCGAGTATATGTATTATACATTGTGCTTTTGAACCTAAAGAGCATTTCGATTACATAACCGAATGAAATTCGAAAGGAAATGATTGTGTGAAGTTGTGAAAATTCGAAATAAATAAATAAATTTTTTTAAAACTAAAACCATTTAAAATGCGATCAAAAATTTAATACTCTTGGATTGGATTGCTTATTAGTAATTAATAAATTACTAGGTACATTTGCCAATCCAGTAAAAGGATCTCAAAAATCGATAGTTACCAAATATGTACATATAATATGTTTTATAATCGTTGGCTATCAACTTTAGCTCGTACTGGATGGCGAAATAGAAGGCAGGAGCATCTTTTCTTACAATACTTAGTAAAGCAATTGAATGAATTTGTAAATCGAAATCAAAATTATTGTTATATAATCAAAATCAATGCAGAAATAATTTAACTGAGCACACATACAAATATTGCATTTACATTTATCACTTTAAAACACATACGCACAAACTTGTGTAAAATAAAGTAGACATCTTTATACAAACCAAATGAAGAGCAAGCACAAGACAAGCACAGAATAAATTACCATCACCATTAGCATTGGCACACCACCCAATACAGGTATGTAGCATCACAAACGTTTTTAGACACAAAATCAATATTTTATACATATGTATGTATGTATGTACATATGTTTACTGTATAAATTTGGAATACATAATTTTGTAGAATACTGAATTTCACATCGACTATTTTACATAGCAACCACCAATTCATATTTATGCAATAGCGCATCACAATGACGCTCCGATTGCAACCAATTTACAAACTGCATTAAGAGCCAATTCAGTGCTCACCTTCGCTTATCAAATACACTTCATCCGGCAGATCAATCTCTTTGCTAGTGCTTGTGCACTCTGAATCTTCCTCACCTTCACACAAAAAGTCTATCTCATCCGGCGGCTCCTTGGCCTCCTCCCGGCAAGTGGCTATCGCGCGCTCGTCCCCGCTCGCCGACGACGCCAGCGACGTGGTAGCCGTTGTGGTAGCGTTGCCGGCGCCCGCCGTGGCATTGCTGCTGCTGGTGCCGATTTCACGAATTAGAAACTGCACATGATCGTAGCGCTCGATGTCGTCGCTCTTGTTTTTGAGCAAACGCAAACATTTCTGCTCCTGTTTGTCGGGGTCGCTGTCGAAACTATCCGCCTGCTTGCCGCCGCTGCTCATTGACGAAGCCGAGTGCGATTTGGTGCGGCCAAAAGCACAACGAGCTGTGGAAAGCAGTGATTGGAAAATCGTGTGGAAGAGAAGCAAAATATGAAATAAGTATGTTGAATATATTGTTGTTGTTTTTGGGTAGCTGGTTGAAATTAATTGATTGCGGTATAGAAGATTTCGCTCAAAATGGACTTGGTACGTGCCGCCCCTGCAAAGCTTCTGCAGATTTGCATATTAGCCGTGACTGTGCTGTTGTATGTGACTGTGTGATTGTGTGTGAAATTGAGCCATTTGTTGGCCTGATTCAATTAAGCCATAAATATGTATGTGGAAATACGTCCCGAGTAAAGTGTAATTTTCTCACTTTTCTCGTTTTCATGCTTCTGCAGTCATTTGACTCGGGGCTATTAGATTACTCACATCTCCCCAAGTTCAGTATGTCTGGTTTTGGTGTTGCCTGCTGTCTCGAAATGGTGTATGTTTGTGTGGCTTACCTTGCTTTTTATTGCTAACATCTGCGGCTGATAACACCACCACATCATCGTCGTCATCCGCATCGTTTTCGTTGTTATTTTTATTGCTGGCATTATTGTTGGTGTTATTGTGATTGTTATTCTCTTCTGGTAGATTTTCAGTAGGTATTGTGCTACTTGATTGCTGCTGTTGTTGTTGCGTAAATACATCTGTGCGGTCTTCTTCATCGATTGGGTCACCTTTCCGCTTGACGATCTCAATTTCCACCTCGACACCATGCAGTTTGGATGCCACCGCCTGGAACGATTTGCAAGGATTCTTGTGAGATAACGCACACGAGCTCAGCATATCACAAGCCCAAATGAATTATTGCGAAAGGCATAAACATTCATATATACTCGTATGGACCGTTACGGTCTAAGATTATCTGAAACTGTACGGTAATTTATGTACCTGCAGCGAGTTTGCTGTGGTTGCAGGAGCAAAGAGCTTATTTTGGATATTTTCTTCGTTTTATGCTTTAATCTTTTGGTTTTGGTGCCTTACCTTGCCAAAACCATCCCTTACCTGAAAAATTATTTTCAAGCATTGACAATATTAAATATTGCTCCACTCGGGGAAGCAGGAGGATTCTTCTATTTTGATAGGATTTGAAATAGCGATAACGCTCTTTCGCTAGTTGAAATCTATTCTTAGCCCACATTTTTAGATATGCTTTTCAGTCCAAGACTATTTCTTTTTTTGCTACCAGTTATTCAGTAGTTGATCTAAAACGGGGTTAGTCTCTTCTATAGACTTTTCTAGAACTACAAACTATCCTTCAATACGGACTATTCATGTTCTAATATCTATTCTATTGAATTTCAAGTTATGTTATGTCTTTAATTGCGTTTCCCTTTGTTTCCGAAAATTTGGCTTGCAGTTAACTCACCTTAACAATACCAATCACGATGTGCTCCAAGCCGGGACGTTCCGAGTAGTAGTGCAACAGAAGTGAGCCATCCTTTTCTGTACAACGAAATGAAGGTGCCCTCATGCCGGGGTAAAGGGTGCCCAGATGATCATGCAGCGCATCCAAGTTCTGTGAAAAATCGTAAGAGTACATATGAAAAAAGTGCGAAAAGTTAAATTTTGAATGATATGTTTACGAATGAGGTGGAAACAGGTGAGGAAGATAATAAAGTGCATTAATGAATGGACACTTGAAGTAAAACTGCGATAAAATTCAATTTAAATTTCCATTATGGGGAACGTTGAACGACTCAGACCGTGTGTGGCATGAATGGCGGTGGTGATATGGCGCTATAAGTCTATGGATTGTGCGTTGCTGCGTGTGGCTCGCGCAGGAATCGAGTTGATTGATGCCAAATCCCCGGAAGTGCGGAAGTACCGTTACAGTATTGGTTTTGCGGTTTCACACCCAAAGAAGCTTCAAAGAGAAGCGGGCAAGTAAGCAAGAATAATTGGACGTAGGTGTTCTTGCAACACTTCTGAAGAAGCGAAAACTTACAATAAAATGAAACTAAAATGGGAAACATACTCTCAACATAAAATTCACAAAAAAATTATAAAAGTGTATATCCAATATTGCCAGATGTTATAAAAGACCACCAGTGAAGAATATAAACAAGTTTTTCATCTGTAAACTCTAGTCCTTTGACTGAATACATTGCCTTATTACCTAAAATGCTTAGAACATACATTTCTTTATTCAAAAAGTTAGGGGCTTGCGTCCAAACTATGTTATCCCGTCCAATTTACAGATACTAGATTTGCCAAAGTCATTAAATACACTCTTCGATTTTTAATAAACTAGACCAAGCTAGTTTCTATATTTTGATACAATATACTGTTGTTTCTATAATTTTCTTCGTATTTTGTAGTCCACAGGCTAACTTTGGAAATATTTTTCGGAATTATTGGAAGGCGAATTTCTTTAGTTGAGAGTAGGTTAAGATGTAAACACTTGCAATATTATACACAGTGCGCTCAATGAACCTTCAACAAATGTTCCAGAGCCGAGAAAGTTTGTAGAAAATAATGCGTATGTCTACGCCTCAGTTATAACAGGCCACACGAAATGCCCTTAACATCCATTTTCTCACAGAGCTTAAGACTATTGATCGAGACATTATTCGGTTTTATAACTTCCATTAATATTTCTTTTATATTTAATTGGTTCGACATATTTCACTCTTTAATCACCGCTTTTCACTTTTATACCTTTAATATTTTATTTTTACGTACGGACTAACATTTTGGTAATGAGAAAAAATAGGAAGATAAGTTAAATTAGTGAGTGGTTGGCGTGCGGTTGTGAAAATAGTGAAGAATGGCGGAGCTGATTAACTGTTCTTTGTACTTGTGTACTCACCTGCAGAAAGTCGCGCGGTGTGGCGCCCAGCACTTGCAAAATTTTGTCATAGCCCGAATCCTGGCAGAACTCGAAAAAAGTCTTACCAAAGAGCTCCAATATATCATCGGCTGGTATATCTAGAGGGGCGAAATGGGAAAAGCGGCAAAAATAGCAGAAATATAACAAATCGTGACATTATCTACAGCTTCCATTGTTAGAGCTCGTAAGCGAGAGCGCTTAATTATGCTTATCGGCGTATATGCCATTGCAATTTGTAAGTATACATATTGGACTTACACCGATACATATAATATGTAAGTATGTATGTATGTGTATAGGTATGTATGTAGGCGTTCTGTACTCACGTAAAATTTCCACCGCCGCGCCGATGAGATTGTAGGTGATTTCATCGTCATATGTTTGTCGCACCAAAAACTGACCTTCCATGCTGACCATCGCTTTTTTCCTGCGGAGAGTGAAGTAAACAATAGAGCGTAACGTGAGAAAGGATATTCAAAAGCGAAAGTGAGATAAAAATAATTTTTAATTAACGGGCGACCTTCCTCACTGCGCCGATATGCTCGACCGCTTATGCACACATGCACACTCCTACAAGCGTGATCTATGTGTGCGATGCACAGATGTATGTAAGCGGCTTGTGCACACTTAATATAGTTTAAGTACTTATCAAAGGGTTAATTAAGCTGTGATTTTTTTGGCTTTGTTTCTGCTTGGCGAAAAGTTCAGCGAATGAACAGGGTTCTGAAGAACTTAATTAGGCAATTATCCGATTTGCAGTTGGTTAATTCGGCTAGTGTTCTTCTAAACTTTAAGCGCAGAAAAGCGCATCGATTGCGAACCATTTATTCTAATAGTTTCAACAATTAAAAACTGAAAAAGAACAGTTAGTTTTTATGCGAGAATTCAAATGGAGTAAATAGCCGATGTCGAACATTTGTTTATATTTATATATGTTTGCCTTTAGTATCTGTCATTATTCTGTAAAGAGCATATGAATTAGTATCTTTTGTTTGGTATAGATTGTGACAAAAAAGCACCCGAAAGTAGTAACTAAGTTCCCCGAGTAAATGATATTAAAAATAGGATTTTGCTTACTTTTTTAAGATTGTCCTTAATTACTATGCCAAATTTGATTCATATCTGTCAACCAGTTTGTTTACAGCAGCTGCTTAAGTCGCCATACTTCATTAGTGCGCTATGATTTGTACAATGGATAAAAATATCGAACAAAGAATATGTCTCAAAGTTGGTATTTCTAACCAAATTATTTGTGCGGAATCGTTGCGAATGTTGAAAAAGGCTTACGGGGTTCAGTTTTATCAAAAACACACGCGTGGTACAATGCCTCCAAAAACGATCGCTATATCGTTGAAAGTTTTCCGCGTTCTGGACGACATTCGACCCCTTCAAAGGATGAAAATGTTGAAAAGGTGAAGAATATGGTGATTGAAAATCGTCAGACAAATGCTAGCGAGAAGGAAAGATAGCTCGACTTCTCTCGTGAGTCCCTTCGAATGATTGTGATGGATATTTTAGGTATGAAAAGCGTTATTGCACTAAGCGTTATTGTTAAGGCAATCTCAAAAAGTGCTTATGAAAAGTGTCTCGAGGAATGCAAAAATCGTTGGCATTAGCGAATTAAAACTGTTGGGGATTACTTTGAAGGCGTCAAAATAAATATTGATGAATTTGCTTTTTTTACAATTTCCGGGTACTTTTTTGACAAATGTATGTATCAGATTCCACGAACAAAAATGCGATCGAACAATTAAACCAAATCAAGAATTATATCCATAAGATGTTTTAGATGAATATAACGTTCTATAATGTAGTTAAGAATACAATGGAGGCACAAACATTAATAACTTTTGAAGAAGACCAAAATATCGTATTATTTTCATATTAGAAAAGTTGGCACAAAACCGCAGTTGTGACACGTGAATGGATAGCAATACTATGGTTCAAGCGCATGTATGTATACTGTAAATTAACGCGCACCACGCTAGTTTCGCACAAACGTGTTAAATATTAGAGGAAGGAAACGAATTTTTAATGAGTATGAAATTACGATGAATCCCTCAAGCTCTGCCAATGATGGCTATGAAGACGGATGTAAGAAAATGTAGTAAATACATTAGTGCACCACGTGCGTGTAAGCTGTGTAGTTGCTTGTGTCTGAAAACTTTGCTGGCAATATGAGAATCTAAAAGTTTTTAATTTTGTAATTCATCATCACTCATAGCGCTTTTGATGCTTGCTCTCATGTGCAATCATGAATGATGTATTTTCCAAGTATTAAATTTGACAGAAAACTATGCAATTCGGAAAGTAATGGCGATGCGATGAAAGGAACCTAACACCCGGTGGTTGGTGTTTCAATAGGTGTGACTACCACTGGATTACTCATGTGCAGCAGGTTTTTAAATATTCGAGTAGTGAACGGGTGAGCGATTGACCGTGCAGAGGATGGGTATCAAACGGAAATGAGGATGTAATGGCAGAGATGCGCAGACATTTGTTGACTTAGGAAATCAATCACTGCCAAACATGCATCTTTAGATAATTACCTACATATGGTATATATGTATATGTATTCCTGCTATTTTAGATTCTGTCCACCGCTCTATCATTACGCTTACATTCTCAGGAGACTGCTCGTCTGTACTGTCTGTCAGACAGTCAGACCCTGCAGCTCCGCCCATTCGCTTCACACACACAATACTGCCAAAGCTTTACAATATTTCTGCCATCTTTCCTTTCCACCGTTTTTCTTCGAACATTTTTTACCGGTTGTGTGCCCAGTTGGCGGTCCGAAGCTCTGTCCGTCTCTCGCTTTGTTGCATGTTTGTCGTTGTCATCGTGCGATTCTTTGGAGTAACGGCGCTTGCCATCGTGTTAAATGAGCCAGGAAATTCAATCTGAACAAAATATATTATATATAATAAAAATATATATATGCATGTGTCCTATTACATATGTGTGTGTGTATGGCGCTTTCTATTCACTTTTCAGTTCGCTTGAGTTCCAGTGAATAAAAGTAATCGTCCATGCACATGTGTAAGTAACACACACACATGCATACATGGCTGTTTACTATATTTACACGAGTGAGTTTCTTGCAGCCGCTTGTCGGGAATGTGTTTTGGGTTTTAATTTAAATCGGTTTGGTTGACGAAATGAAGGAAATGAAAAGTGAAAAAGTATCCTAAATCGATCACAAAAAATGCGATTTGTAAAATTGTAAAGATTTATGTCATTAATGTACAGTGCGTCTGTGCGGGGAAGTGATTGGGTCAGTTGCCAGAACATTCGTGACTTTGATTAATTTGTTTTTGAGACTTAACAAATGGCTTAATTAGCTAAACGAAGGAGTATAGGGCGTGCTCATTATGGGTAAATTACACTCAGTATTTTTTGGGAGTGTGGCAAGTCAATTTTGGGGATTTGTTTTATATTTTTCCTTGTTTTTCAATAAGACAAAATGTGTGTATTGAACATGAATTTCAATAACCTGACAGCCATCAAAGAATCCGGTTGTTAATTTCACCACGTCGTCATGAAAAATATTTATATCTTTCATTATAGGAGATTAGATCTTTGCAAACCAAAGACAAATATTGACAGTTATCACGAAAAATTTGTCTTGAAGGCATTTCTTTTTGGCGACAAATAATATACATACATTAAATTAAAATGAGCAAATAACATACATCGCGAAATTAAAAAGTCAACATACAAACAAATGATACAAATTCAAATCCACCAAGTCTAACTGCGGTCCCATTGCATTTCTTAATGACACTTATCATAAATAGCCACTAATAATTTGTCAATCACGGAATGCCTCAACCGTATATGCTGGCTACCGTAGCGGCTAGGTGTGGCGCCACTTGTGCCGCACGCCATGCCGCATGTTCAAGCGCGCTGAGCTTAAAAACTTCACAAACACCGTCGGCACAGCTGTCATTCCGGCACGCCGTGCATTCCAGTTATCGCGGCAACAACACCAACAGCTGCAGCGATTATTGCTACTGACAAGTTCAGTGAGATGCCAACTGCCGCCTGCCGGCATATCTGCTGTCGCCAGCACACCTTTCCACCTGCAATTTTCCACAAGCTTTTATAGATGACAGCACGGGGCACACCTGTCATCCGCACACAAAATTTTCCGCTTTGCCAAACCAGTCGGCTGCTTCAGCTGATACGCATTTGGGGAATGATGCCAAGCTTTGCGGAGAGCAAATAATAGGTACGCATGAAGCGAAATACACGGTTTTATTCAGATGAAGATAGGAAGCTAAAGAGGCGGCCTGGTCCGGTGATATTGGGTTGCTTTGAAGTGCCCTTAAAAATGTACTTAAAAAGTCATGACATTCCATTTTTATTGTTTTAGGTTTCCGAAAACATTTTGATAATCAGTGGTCCGGCAGGATATATGTATTAAACTTACTCAGAAAAAGGAATCTATTATAAAACTTAAAAAAGAAATTATCTTTATATTTATTATCAATTCACAAATGAGCTAAAGTGGCAAAAAAACGCGGCTGATTGCTCGGAATAACGGTGCTTGCTTTTGAAAAGCAACGCATTAATGTTATTAACTTGCATATGAATATTTCGTACACATTTAAAGTCCTCCAACTATTGCCATTACCATTTCCGTGGGAGCATATGCTTCCAAGTATGCATAAAAATAAATTTTTTATTTTATTTGCGAGTTTAAGCGATTCTTTTATGATTACATTTAAATGTGTGTGAGTAAATATTTCCGTATGAATAAGTTAGCCGCGGTGCTTGTCAAGCAAATTTGCACCAGAGCAAAGCAAGCAATATTATTGGTGTAAGTAGAATCACAAATCAGCGAAGCGTACCGGGTGCACCAGTAGCGGGACACCTACAGCCCTGCTGGAAAAGTGGAGCAATTGTACAAATGGCATACTAGCATGATAGAGCTGACGGCTAAGGCAAAGATCTACAAAAATAATATTAGAATGGCTAACCACTTCCGTTGCTCTAGGAGGCATATGACATCTAGATTACGTTCACACACAGTTTCCTTATATTATTCCACGAAATCGCTTCAAAAGAAATGATGTCACATCGTCGCTTTTCACTGCCGGGTCTTTGTTGTTTGGCATAGTTGTGTTGAACTTAGTTGCAAGCTCCGCTACGGCTGATGATATACCCAGAGTGAGTTAGACGATATGTGTAAAGAAATGCTTCACTGCAGCGACTTGACAGTTGTGCCAGTGACTTACTTGAGCTAACGCCCTCCTCCACCTCCACTCGCCCGCTCAGGGCGAAATAATGCTGCACACGACGTTGGATGTGCCATAAGTGGCTTTTAACCTTATTTCACAACCACTTCCGCTCAACCACACAAACACAAACTAACACAACTAAGCGCCATGTCTGTTTGCTTGTGGGTGTATGTGTGTSAAGCGC